CAATGTTAACGTGCCCTTATCAGCAGCGCCACTAAGAAGCGCTGCAGAGTGGTTTGTGTGAAAAGGCTCTTAAGAAGTAATTTGCGATCAGCCGCGATACGCGAGTCGCAGTCGCAATCGCACCATCAAAACCGTACCTTTAATGGTACAATTTTGGGAAAAATTTTTTTGCTCATAAACGGATAGAGTAGGGTAGAAAAACTTTTATTCTACAAGGTGTTCTATTTATAATAAATAAGTTTGAGACTAGTTCAGGTATAACCGGAAGTCGCATAAGGTCACTGTTATTTCATTTGAAACAAACGAAATCCAGTCTCCGTAAATCCCATTATCTAAATTTGCAGGGTTCAAATCGCATTACTTCTAAATATTTTCGAAACAGTTTAAATATTATTGACTAATAAATATGAAGCAATAAACATTTAAAATTTACCTTTGTGGATTCTAATATGATTCTTCAGCTCCTCGCTTCGCATAAAGTCAAAAGCTTCTGTGAAGTCAAAGGAAATCACAAAACCATTTGAATTTTCAAGGCTCAAGCCAAACAAATTCAAATTTTTGCGCCCTTTGCGAATGAAAAACGAACGATTTCTCGCAACTGCCCGCTCTCAAATAAAAATTCCGAAATTCTAATCCAGAACCCGCAGCAACCTAAAACTTTGACAGCCTATAGAAAATACTTCAGCCTAAAAACTCAAAAAAATTACAATTAAATAGCAACCAATCATCATTTTTGCGCCCTATGCAAATGCTGGTATAAAAACGAACGTTTCTACGCAACTACACGCTTTTGAGTAAAAAGGTACCGTATACTTTCTTCTTTTGGAAAAGTCTTTGAAAATCAGTGACAAATTCAAGCTGTCCGCGCTCGTGACGAATGTTATTACTTTCCACACGGGATGAAGAAAACTTGTAATGGGTAAAAGTGATGCTTTCGCCATAGAAAACAGTGGCGAAAGTACGTACTTTCCACCAGGGGATCAAGAAAATACATTTGAATAGCAAAAAATTCAAATTTTGTGCCATTTGCGAATGTTGGTTTAACAACAAGCGTCTTCACGCAACTGGATACTTTTGACTTATTCCCACTTTTGCTCCACGACCCGCAGCTACTTCAAACATTCACAGTCTATAGAAAACACTTGAGCATACAAAGACAGAAAATTAGGTTCAATTCGAGGTTCAGCGAGTTTCCAAGGTTTTCAATTTTCTTTGCAACTAGCGATAAAGTCAAATCCGGGAGCTCTCTTGGTGTTAATTTAATATTTGATAACACCATTGACCTCAATTCATTTTATTTTCCACATTGGTAGGCTTTGGTGAAATTTAAAATTTCTAGGGATGTTTTGAAGCCCTCAAGAATAACTGGTATAATTTACTTAGCAAAGGCAAAAAACGCAATTCTCCACCAACCAATAAGCGAATATAGGCCTTGTTAGAGCACATATTTTGGTTTTGTCTTCAACAGCGATAAGACCGAAGCAATCTAATTAATAAGTTTATTGACCAACATTTCCGTTTCTCATCTGCCCATTAGCAAATTCGATTAGGCGCGCTCGCATATCGCTCTAACATTTTAGGAGAACATCTAACCTATTAGTAGATCGGATTATTATCTTTTTTATAATTGAAACCACATTCTTTTTCAGGCTGAGCGAAAAGGATGCACTGCAACAGAATACGGATTGGTGTTTGGAATTTTCGAATTTGTGGTTTTTATTGTTAGTCCATTGTATGGACAGCATTTGAACAAAATAGGCCCGAAAATCACTTTCAATGGAGGCATCTATACGACAGGCATTTGCGCCATTCTCTTCGGGTTAGTTGCCAACAATTACAATTCCAAAATTTCACAAAAACACAAATCGTTTGTAGTTAAAACTCTTATCGGTTTGTAGAAATATGTAGTAAACATTTCTATTAATAAACAAAGTCCAAGTCTGAATAGACCTTGGTATCATCTGATTGCTTCGAATTCTTACATTTGTGCACTTTTATCAATTGTTTTCTCTAAATTCAAAGGCTTCTTTAATTAAGAAACATTATGGTAATTAGCCAATGTTTTCTCAGCCTACTGGATAAGGTGGAAGGACATATCCCTTTCATAACGTTGAGCTTTGTGATACGGATAGTCGAAGCTATGGGAAATGCCGCTTTTCTTACAGCGAGTTTTGCCATTATTGCCAAGGAGTTCCCCGATAAAATCGCCCTAACATTTGTAAGTATTTTCATATGTTTTTACCTGCTTCAAAAAACATTCATCAACTTAGCCAGATTTCAGAATTTTTACGGAGTCAACGTGTTTTTTTAACATTTCAGGCCTCCCTTGAAACCTTCTTCGGTCTAGGCTTGATCGTAGGCCCCACAGTGGGAGGAGCCCTTTTCCAAGTCGGCGGCTACACGCTGCCCTTCGCTGTCATGGGCTCAACCCTGTTCGCTTCCGCCATTCTTACCGCCATCGTTCTTCCGAAACACGAAACGGGAAGAGACAAGGAAAAAGGCCGTAAGTTGTCTCAACTTCCACCTCAACCGCCCAATTCAACTCCTTTATTGCTACAGCTTCAGTCTTCAAGATCCTGAAAATTCCGGGCATACTGCTCGCTTCCGCCAGCATTATTGTCACCAGTACATCCATTAGTTTCCTGCAGGCCACTTTGGAGCCTCATTTGAGAACGTTTAACTTGGCTCCGGTAGTGTTGGGGCTCATGTTCGTCATCAATGGGGGCGTCTACGCCATTACAACCCCGCTATGGGGCTGGGCATGCGACAACTTGTGCTCCCCGAAAGTGGTCACTTCCATTGGCACTCTACT